AACTAGCTCTGTAGCTCAGACAAGCTTTGAACTTGAGATCCTTCTGCCTCAGCCTCCCAAGTAACTTGAGATTATAGCCTTAGCTGAAAATTTCAAAAAAAAAAAAAAAAAAAAAACAAAAAACAAACTGAGGGAAAACGTTAATTCCAGCTCAAATTCTTAGCAAACAAAACAGAACAGAACAAAACATAAATCCCCCCTTAGGTTTATGTTTTGGTACTAACCCTGAGAAAGGTAGCCACTGTAACATGAGAAGCAGGATTATGGCTTATTCGTTTCGGTTAAGATGTTTGGCATAATGCCCAATGGGAGCTTAAATATTATTCTCTTACGGCTAAGATTTAAAACCGAGCGCTTACAAGGGTGGCTACTGTGTCTCCATCAGACTGTAGAGTTAATTACGACATCGTGGGAACTCACACTATGCCACCTCGTTTATTCCCAATCAGAACTTTGAGTCATCCAAATAACTCTGCAGGATGTGCGCACAAAGATCCACATTACCAGGGATATCTGACACCCACTGCCCTTTTGTTGCGGATGTGTCTCTGGCTTTTCCATGCCAAAGCACAGCCCAAGATTAGAGCAACATATACTTAAGGGTAGGTTTTCCCAGATGGTGGTGGTTGGGACCTGAAACATAAGAGTGATTCAATGCTGAGAACTATTTGGAGACACTGCCTTGGAAAAGAAAATAGTTCTGGGAGAAATTTAAGTTATCGCCAGTGAATAATCCCTTCTTTTCCCTAAAGAGTGGTTGTATTCTTCTCGTGTGCTCGTGTGTGTGTGTGTGTGTGTGTGTGTGTGTGTGTGTGTGTGTACACGCGAGCGCGTGCACGTGCGCATGTTCAGATAATATCTTCATGAAACGAAGTACAAATAGGAGTACAAGTCTTTTGAAAAGAGGACTTGGAGCTGCCTCTCATGGATAGAGAGGTGAAGCACAGGGATGTCTTCTGTGTTTGGGGGAAGAATGATGAAAACCCAAGGGAAACTACTCTAAGCTGGTGCATGAACCCATCCTTATGAATTTAAAGTAGATTTTGATAAGAACCACCCCTCTCCCATTAGCTAAGCAGAATCCCCCAAGATGCTTTATTGTCCCATGTGATTCGCCGTCCCAGGAAATTTTAGTGCCTCACCGCCCAGTAGAATTCAACTATTCTCTGGCTGAGCAGTTTGCCCCACGCAGCTAGCTGCCCCTCAGGTCACACTGTGTCAGCCCAGGTTGCTGGGTAAGGGCTTGCCAACTCAGGCAAACTTCATTATCAGTGATGACTGAGATTTCGGGGTTTCCCCAGTCCTCCCACGCTGGGCCACGCAGCTAGCGTCAAAGAGTGCGGCAACTCTCTACTCTAAGCTGCAAGGACCGGGCGGAGGACCCAGTGCACCCTGGATGCAGCTGCTGCCAGCCCAGGGCTCCTGGCTGGGGGACAGCGAGAGCAGGGTGATTTTTCATCAGATGCCTTGTTTTCCTGCGGCAGAAATCCGAGGCGGGCTCTTTACACTAGATCTAACTGGCCCGCAGCGATAGCCATGGAAGTTGCTGTGGTGCAGAGCGAGACCCAATCACTCTGCGCGGCTTTTTTTGTGGATGTTTTCCCCCTACATAGGCCACTTCTTTCTTCCTCCTTTGGGTAAGTGGAATCAGTTTGTAAATATCCACTGAAGGCTAACGGGTAGGGTAGGGATTGACAGTGATGGAAGAGGGGATGGGGGAGAGGAGCACAAAGGGTTAATATGCTAAGTAGTTTTTTTTCCTGGTAGGGGTGGTCTTGCACCTCAGTTTTGCAAGAATTACATTTAATTTCACCACCACGTGCATTGCAGGGAGGATACTGGGATTTCTTTATTTTTGTTCGACCCCCCCCCCAATAAACTTGTCCTGAAGGGTGAATGAGAGTGGGAATGACGGGATGCCCCAGAGATGAGAGGTCAGTGAAAGGCAAGAGGGAAGGAATCCAGTGATTCAGTAGAGAGATGTTCCTCTAAGCCAGTGACCAGAGCAAGGCTTCAACCCAACCAGCAGCTAGACATTCATTCTGTTCCCCAGGCCAGCAGGGTCTGCCCCAAGCCTCCCAGCCTCCCCCTAACTGCCCTGCTGTTCTTGGGATGGAGAGGTCCTTCATTACCAAGAGGTCCTTCTAAAAAAGACCTACAACTTCCTTTGTACACAGGAGATGCTCTGTGTTTGTTGATTGACTAAACGGCAAGGCATCGGAAGATTGCTGTTTGTTCCACAAACCGGTGCTTTGGGCAGAGAGAGGATTCTTTAATGTTGATTCCTGAATGCAAGGATAGTCCAGTTCATTCTACAAAGAGCAAGAGGCTAGAGGGCTGGAAAGTCCAATATTTAGATCGTCATTACTGGAAAGAACCTGTCTGGTCAGATTGGTGGTCCTGGGCCCCAAGATTTCGGTAAAGAAACTGTGTATCTACTGGTCAGGTTCATTTGGGGTTTTGATCTCCTCTCTGTGACCTTGGGAGTGTTTCTTTATCCTCCTGAGCAGAAGTCTCCTCTGTAAAAAGAGGCAAGGAAGGCATCCTTAGAGAGGTGGAGGAAGCCCATGGAGACAAGGAGAAGTTGCAATAAATCAACTGACTTGTCCTCCTAACTCAGGAGGGATTTGGAAAGAAAGTGTACTTCTGTTGGTCTCTGCTGATTCCCATGGACATGCAGGAGGGGAGGGCAGAGTGAGCTTGAAAGTGCTTCTGAGACCCAGCTTTTGGGAACCCTATCCATACCAGAGTCGATTTGCCTTATTTTCATGCCTTGTTCATCCTCACAGTCCAAGGAGGGGAAAGTATGGAAATAGCCCAGAGGAGGCAGCTCTGATACTCCTGGGGAATGCATCCAAAGAGCAGAGGAGGCAGGACATCACTCCAGGATGGTGCCAGCCTTCCTTGAGCATGGTCTGCAGAGAACTCAGGGCTCCAGTTTGGGCCTTGAGAAGTCATTGACAAAGCACTTCCCAACCTTTGTCACAGTCCATCTTTATAGAGCTTGCCCTTGGGCTTAAAGACCTGGATGTATTGTGTGTGTGTGTGTGTGTGTGTGTGTGTGTGTGTGTGTGCGTGTGTGTGGGTGTGTGTGTGTGTAGGGGGGAACCCAGGCCTTCCCTAAGGCACCTCAAGGACCACAGCTGGCAGACTTGGAAAGAGGGCGGTTGTCACTATCTCTTCCACGTGGTAAGGCAACAGCAATCAACTTGACCTTCTGATACTAGTTCTATGAAGAAAAGGTCCATTCCAATCTTACTCTTGGCCTGGTAGCCAGAACCTGGCACAGCAATGGTACATAGAAGGGTTTTGGTTCTAAATGAACAACGGACTTTAGTAATCGTAGAGACAAGGGTACTGAGTTGAACTTCCTATTGAACACCATAGCGTGCTAATCTTACCTTTCTTTAGCAAACATTTTCTTTTTTTTTGACCATCTATTAAGTGCAAGACTGTTGCTAGGCATCCCAGGGAACTTGTAAGCAGAATTCATGTTGATTCTTGGGTGGCTCTTTCAAGAGTACTCCAGCACCTTTGGCCTTTTCTGGAGACTTAGATTTTACCATAAACTCGGTGGGCGGGGACCTAATTCAGAAAATGGCTGAGGTCTTCCTGTACCCACCATTCGTGCTGACTCTCAAGGGCTCCCTGGGTTACCCCTTTAACTTCTCAGAGTCGCCAAGCCTTAGCAACTGGACTTTCCTCCAGGGCTCCAGTGCCTCTCCCCAGCCTATCTCCCTAGCCTCAAAGCATGAGCCCCAGTCAGGCTACAGGTAGCTGGGGGAGGGACCAAACTGTGCCTGGGGAACTAGGTGCTGTGAGATCACAGCAGAGAGATGCTAAGCAGTCCCAGAACAAAAGGCTCATGGCTGCTACGGGCATCCTCCACTCAGGAGCGCAGTGGGGACATGGGTTCGGGACTCAGACGAAAGAACCACACTGGGGAGCAGGGAGTGGTGTATCAAAAATGAACTGACAAGAGAGAGAGAGAGAGAGAGAGAGCGAGCAGGCACTCAGGGTGGGAGCTGTGAAAGGAGGTCACCACCCCAGGCCGAGGTCTGCGGTGGGGCCGTGGCAGGCCCTTTCCTCCGCCTTCTGCAGAGCTTCCAGGCAGCCAAGCGTGTCTCCGGCTGCAACTCCACCGAGCACGCTGTGGCCGCGCCAGTAAGTAGCAGCCGCGCCTCTGCTCGCTGTCTCTGCGCAGCCCGGCGGAGGACAGGTCTGCCACCGCCCAGCGTCCAGACCCGGTGTCCGGATCCACGCGCGCCCGGCGTTCTCCCGCAGTGGCGCGGCACCTGCAGCGCGCCACGGGGAGGGTCGCCTTGGCCGCTAGCTTCCCCGGGCGCCGCGCCACCCTTCCGTCCAATGGCTTTCAGAGGGTGGGGAGTGGGGGGGGCGTCTCCCGGGGGCGAGGAGCGGCGGCTGGGGTGGGGCGAGTACTCTGTGATCAGCCGAGCGAGGCTGACGTGCCCGCCCGAGCGCGCGGCCGGGTGTGTGCGCGCCTGAATGTGTGTGTGTGTGTGTGTTTTGTGTGTGTATGTGCGTGTGTGTGCGAGAGAGGGGGTACGAACACGCCTTTGGGGACCCGAGGGGACTCTGCGGTGGGCTTCTCTCCGGCGTCAGCCCTGTAACTGGCTGCTCAGCTTTGCGTCTGCCTACTGCGCTTCTGCAGAAGCAACCCCGCTCTTTCATCCTCTCGGAACCACCCTCAGCATCCGATCTTACTTTTTCTTTCATCCACGAGGGCAGCAGCTGGCCACCTCCTTAACCGGTGCAAACACCCAAGTGCTCAGCGCTTCCCTCAGCTAGTATTTTCCCGCTTGTCTTTCTTTGGGGCTCCCTAGGAGCCACTCGAATGCTCCTCCACCCTCACAAATTGTTCCGTTGGTCTCTTTAACCGAAGAGCTGTAAATCTTGAAGACATTATTATTATTATTATTATTATTATTATTATTATTATTATTATTTTGATTCTTTCTATTTCACCCCCTCCCCCCCCTGTGGGCAACGGAGCAATGAAATTTCCAATCGAGACGCCAAGAAAGCAGGTGAACTGGGATCCTAAAGGTTCGTATTGCCTACTTCGGGCTACCCTGGCTCTCCTCCACCAGCAGGTCCCTCCCTGGCAGGAGTGGGATGAGCTTGCTCCCGGCAGCACGCGTCCGTCCGGAGGCTGGGAAATGCGCCTGGCAACTGCAGCGTGGGTGGGAGGAGGGCGGAGGCAGAGTGGGGTTCGGAACCCAGATCGCGCCTGTCAAGATCACATAATCGTTGTCCCTCTAGGATGGTTTCACAATCTATTTAAAGATATACCAAGCTGGCTGTTTGTTTTGAAATTTCACCAAGTGTTGGTATTTGCGTTTGACTTTGTGTGTGTGTGTGTGTCCTTTGTTTCTGGTGATCTTTGTCTCTCTGGCAGACGGGTGGGGTGGCTCTCCCTGGACCTGGAGCTGCACTGCATGGCCTGGGTGTCCTCAGGGGGACAGGTTTCTTGGCAGCATCCAAGGCTGCGATCTGCAGCAGCTGTCGCTGGGGTAGTAGCACTTCTCTCGTAGGACATGTAGAATAATGGAGCCCACAGGGCCTCCAGAGTCTTTGCTTGGTCTTATTACCAATCCTGCCCGCTAGTTTGGCTCAGGTTGTAGAAAAGATGTGGGGAGTGGTTTTCCCCGACAACGTTGAGTCTGGGAAAGGGTCACGGGGTGACCTACAGTGTGCCCACTCACACAATGGTGGGGTATACTTTTAGGAATGTGAGGTCACTTTTCCTTCCGGTAAAGGAGATGTTAATGTACAGCTATTATGGCTCTTAATGATCAGCATGGGGACAGGAGAAGTTGAAACAGTGTGTCTGGTCACCTCTTAGCCTATGTACAAGCTGAACTGAGAGGTAGGCAGCCAGTGCTTGAGTGGGTCTTGGGGTTAAATTTTTGTGTGTGTTTAAATTTCTTTTTTTAAAGAGTGTTTTTATTTAGTCTTTGACAGTTTCAGGCAATACAATCTTGATCATATTTAATTCCTGCTTAGTTCCTCCATTTAAATTTCTTAATGACTACATTTCTTCCCTTCCCAGACTGGAACCAGGAAAGCAAGTTATTTGTGGAGTGAATGTCTTATGAATCGACTGGCTTACAAGCCAGTGAAGAGGCTCTCTCTGCCCTTCATTTTGCAAACACCTTCAGTACAGCCCCAGCCTTCTGTTTGGTCTCCAAATCTCTGGAAATAAGAAGTGGGATTTGGCTTTTGTTTTGAATCCTTGCAGGACATATTTATTTGTCAAATACATGCTTCCCACCAGGCACAGTCATGGTCCTGGAAATATAGTCAGAACAGGACAGACAAACTATGTGTCTTCTTGGAATTTACAGTGTGGGTGTCGGGTCAAAATTAGTCACTTCAGGGAGGAGTTAGTAATTACACATGTAGCACATTTTGTGAGCACTGTGGGGCTTTAAGAAAGTCTGATAAAAAAGACTGGAGCTGGGGTGTGGTGGTTCATGCCTACAATGCCAATGGAGTCAGGATTTCTATTAGTTCGAGGTTACCTTGGGGCTCTATAGTGAGTCCCAGGTCAAACCTGGGCTTCTATACTGTTTGAAACAAAACAAAGCAGATTGACAAAGACCAAGGGAGAGGATGCTCAGGAGGTTTTTGTAAGGCAGTGTACTGGACTGACACCTAGAATGGGAGTTATCTAGCCAGTGAGAAGGGCATCTGCCATAGGAAGAGGAAACTGCAGGACCAAGGTTGCAGAGAGGAAGGAACGCTTGCATTTGATGAGCTCAAAGTAGTGTCCCATGCCTGAAGGAGAGCGAAGGCAAGGAAAGGGTGTTGTGAGGTGTGTGTGTGGCTAGGGGAATCTACAGACTCTGGCTCCAAAGCCCCAGTGGTGGTGCCGATAGAGTCAGGTTTCAGATCCAGGAAGATGAGTCTTGATTTTAAGCCTCGAAGAGTTTTAGATGGAGTCATGGGATCTAAGTTTCTAAAGCATTGCCATGTGATGGGACTATGGGGACCAGATACAATGGCGCACTAACCAAGGCCGTGGCCGTGGGGATGGAGAGATGATGGATCAGCAAGCTGTGGTGACCCAAAATCAACAGGATTTGTGAAAGAAGCATCCAGGAGGGACGTCCAAAAGCACTGGGATTCGGTTGGGGCAGGCCCGGTGTGGAGAAAGGAGTGTGCTCACTCTAGGGTGAGATGTCCCCAGGAGGCAGGGGTTGACTGGGGAGGGGACGATAGCTTCCGAACTTTCAGTAGAAGAAACATTGAGAGACTGTCTTCGTGATGCTGGCTTTGGTTTGAAAACTGATTTCTGTAATAGATTCTTGGGTCCCAGTGACAAGTGCTTCTCACAAATTTCCCACATTTCACAGCCTGATACGGAGAAGGAAAGCATACACGTAGCTTCTACAGTTACAACCACAGCTGCTAAAAATAAACATCTCAATAAAAATAGCATCACTTCATGAGCTAGCCCAGCATGCCAGGTGCTTCATGTCCATTATTTCATTCACTTATTCTCACAATGCTTTAATTAAAAATTTAGTTAGCATATGAAGAATGGGTTTCATGATGAAATCTTCATTCATATATGTCATTATACTTTGCATATATTCATGTCCTCCACCCCAATTATCCACCCCAGTCCTCCCCCCTCACTGGTGTCCTTCTGGTTTGCTTTCATTATTAAAAAAGAAAATCTCTATTTTGTTCTGTGTGTATGGCTGTCTTGCCTATGTATGTCTGTGTACCACATGCATATAATATCCATGGAGACCAGAAGTGTAAATAACAGATCCCTCTTGGAACTGGAGTAACAGATGGCTATTCAGTTGTCATGTGGGTACCAGGAACTAAGCCTAGGTCCTCTGGAAGAGTAGTTAGTCTCCAGGCTCCATGTTTACAATCCTTATTTCATGTTATATTACTGTCCTATTTGACCTTTGCTTGTCGCCAGGACACTGTGAAACTGCCTTCCCCTGAAGTGGTCTGGTTCACACCTTTAATTTCTGATTGGTATAGGTGACTAGAGTCTCTCTGTGAGGCAGGAGGAAAGTGGGCGTGCCTTAGAATTATGTGCCGGACACCCATCAAATACCTTACATATATTAGTTTCATTCATGTTGACAAATATCTTAGGAGGAAAGCATTATCCTGCTTTTTAGAAATGAGGGAACTGAGGAATAGAGAGAGCAAATAACCTGCTCAGAGTTGCACGTCCAGTAGGAGGAGGGACTAGATTAGAATCTGGGCTCTTCAGCATTCTTCTAGCCCGTGTCTCATAAACTACTGGGATGATGGACTCTTGCCTGATGGGTCTCCCATCACTCAGGGAGTTTTCTCATCTGACCTGGTCCCACAGCCACTTTTATTTATTTTTTTTTTTAGGCACCAGAAATTTTATTTAATCCACTTTCCTTTTTTAACATTCTAGACACTGTAAACCAAATTAATCTTTTTGTTACCCAGGCTTGTGATAGGAACCATTGATTACAAAGCAGTGACAGACCTTAGCCTATTTGCTTTTTCTGGTCCCTTTCAATCTCTAGCTGTCACTTGTCCTTTCTTGGTTATCTCTTAATCTATTCTAACCCTGTGAAATAAGAACCAAAAGTGCCAACCTCAGTATTCTGAGATTTAAGAGATGATCCAATGGTAAATAAGCTCTGAGGAAGGCCCTTCCAAGTCCAGTGGCTCCTGCCCTATGGTAGTTTCTTCTTGGGAAAGCACACAGATCTAACAAAGACCAAGTGAGGGTCTGGATGGTAAGGTGCATGGGCCTGTGACCGCCACTAGCCACATCTAGCCTCAGGACTTCAAAGACTCCAGAGCTCATGTCCCCTGTGGAGGGCTCCCAGGTACCTCTCTCTTGACTGGAGACTCTCAGTTCCCTTCACCACACCTAGAACAGTATGAAGGACACAAGAGAGATCAAGGACAGAGTAACCAGCCCCAGCAGGACGAACACTGGCGAAGCAACTGCAAAGTTGGTGACATGTGCTCTTGGGAAGAGAGGCAGGGCCTGGAACAAGGATGGCAGCTGGAAGGTGAAGGGCAGTCCTGTCTCTCAGTAGCGGTAGTGATCAGGCTTGAAGGGGCCATCAATGGGCATGCCCAGATACTGGGCCTGCTTCTCAGTCAGCTTGGTCAGCTTCACATTCAGCTTGCCCAGGTGGGCTTCAGCCACTGCCTCATCCAGCTTCTTAGGCAAGAAGTGAACCCCAACGGGGTATTTATCTGGGTGGGTCCACAGCCACAGCCACTTTTAAAATAACCACTATGAGGCTTAATATTAATTACAAACTGTGTAGCCTATTAGCACAGGCTTATTATTAACTGGTTCTTACAACTTAAATTAACCAATTTCTATTGATCTGTTTATCGACACGAGGCCTGTACCTTACTGGTGATGCTTGGGCATTTTTTTTCCTTGGTGGCTGGATGGTGTCTCTTAGACCTCACCTTTTTAAAAATTAATTTACATTTTTACATTCCAATCCCAGTCCCCCCTCTCTCCTCTCCTCCTGCTACCCCCCAACGTCCCCCCCTCACCTCCCATCTGCTTCTTGGAGAGGGTAAGGCCTCCCATAGGAAGTCTACTAAGTCTGTCCCATCATCTCGTTGAGACAGGACCAAGGCATCTCTCCACCTCTCCACCTGCTGGTTCCCCATTTGTCAAACCCCACCTTCTTTCTCCCCTGAATCTCTGCTTGGATTTCCCACCTGGCTCTATTCTTCCTGGCTATTGGCTAAATAAACTTTTTCTTAACTAATGCTAATAAAACATATTCACAGCATACAAAGAGAAATCCCACATCAGTGAAAACCTCTCAGAAGGGGGAAAAAGAGAAAGAAGAGAATGAAGAGGAGAGGGATTAGAAAAGGAGGGGTATGCATTCAAAGTCACCAGAATCATTTAGTGGTACCTTCCTGCCTAGTTGGGATTTGCTTGCTGTTAAAGTATGTTAAGAGCTTTTAAGCCCCAAAAACATTAATGCAGGATGTTTAATGCCTTGAGGCAAGTGGATCAATATAGTGCAGAAAACTCAAGATTTGGGGGC